CTAGTACCTACTGTTTATTTATTTCGCTTGTGCGCTTTTCTAAGTTTGTTTTTATATTATTGTTAGTTTAGTTACCTAAGATTATGAAGTATTAAAAATGCTGAAAGTAAAACCATCGTTTTCCTATCGCTTGCATAGTAACGTGCATATAAAAAAAATTATGGTAACATTTTAAGGGCATTTTTTATTATTTTTGATAGTTTGTAGGGTATTTAAATTCGGAACCTAGTATTATAAGTATTTAAAGTTTATATATGACCGAAGGGCAGGAGTAGTACATAGGTACCGACTACCAAGCAAAATGTTAGTCCACGCTAATATTTTTATAGATAAAAATACTCCAAATAATATTCTGCCGCGGAAAGTGTAATAAAAAATGTATGTTGTCACTTAAAAGTGTAAAAAACTTTTTAAATTATAACGATAAAAAGATAATTATTTTCTAAAAATGTTGTTTTGTAATGACTTAAAATTATGTAAAAGAAATATTTTCAAAAACTTGACTATTTTCTGAAATAATGATAAGTGTCTTATTACGTTAATCAATGGATACCTGGGGTATATTATTATTTATGTGTATACATACAACTTTCGAACTAAAATTGACGATCGAGAGAGTAAAATTATTACTGTTACGTTTCTTTTTTCTAGACGTGCAGTTTATAGGTACAAATAATACGGACGTCAAGGGCCCTCGGACATTTCCCCCCAAAACTGAAAGACCCCCAGTTTTATATTTTATTACATTCGATGATTGTGGAACAAAAGAGGGCAGATGTTAGCTAAAAACTGGTCCCATTGGGGATATTTGGTTCTTCCTTATGTAACGTCTTTCCACAGGAAGGACAAAGGCGCGGCCATGGCGGCCCCTTGATTAAAAAAAACCAGGTGTAAAACGGAACAACTGCGTTATTGTAATATCTTTACTAGGTATATAATCCATTGGTTCTAAAATTGTGCTTTATATAGTGATGTACGATTGGAAGAACAATCATTGGTTCCACGAATCTCGATATATTCCGTGCTTTCGTCGTAATATCATTTTATATACCTCACATATTGGACAATAGATTCCCTGTACAATTTGCGTGCCACCCCTTTTTTCTCAGCAATACATATTACTGTACATTATATATAGGTAGATAGGTAGGTACATATATAGTGTGGTGGTGATGGCAGTGGCAGGCCTCAAGCAGTAGCGGCGGTGACAGGCGCGCGTAAGTGGCGGGTGCTTGAAGCACGCACAAAAACGCTCCTCATTATGATGTCTAAAAAAAAAAATCCCTTACGTGTGTATTCTAAACGACGAGGCGGAGGGAGTTGGCTTTTGTCTTATAGTTTGGTGAAAAAATAATAATATTGGCGTAGAACAGTGTGCACCGTGGGTAAAAGTAGAGGGAGATGCATGACAAAAATGAACAAAAAACAAAACCTCTTTTGTTCATTGTACACTAGCAGCTACTATGCATATATATACCTCCCCTCTTCGACAGATTTACGGTCGCACCCTATGTCACCGCCGTCAGTGCATCTTGAAAGCCACTCTTTTTATATGCGTCCGCCCAGTTGCATTTTTTTGACATTTTCTAACACACATGTACATATGCATTTTCACAATGATTATATTTGCAGCCATTGGTGTAATTAATGTGCGGACCATGTCTGGCTCCTTCATCGAATAGAGCATTTACTTTTGTAGAACACCAGAGAGGATTTTACTTGTCTGGTACTTGGTAGGTAGGTACTTTTTCCCTTGATGAGACAGCTCATCGTATATTGGAAAAGTAGAAAAAGTGCAGTAAAAGGAACGAACTTGCGCATAATTTCACTCGAAATAGCTACTTCCGATTCCTAAAGATAATAATGTCCTTAAAAAACACCAAACAATATGTAAAATTATACATTTAAGTGTTGAATTGCAACATTTTTTCTTATTTTAAATGACGCGTATTGCGTATAATAATAATAAATTAAAATATATAGGCGGTAAATGTATATATTTATTACGTTAAGTATTTATAATGTGTATATAATATGTATATTTACTATTTAATAAAAATGTAAATACATTTAATTGTTGCGATATATACCTAATGGCTAATACCTGTACAATGTTAAATTGATTTCAAGTAAAAACTTGAAAATAGAATAATTGTAAGTATTTTTGTTAGTGGAAATTAAAAAAACGAGCATAAATCCACAATAATTCGTAAAAATTACAAAAATGTGCAAATTATTTATAAACTTAAAATGAAATTTAATGAATTTAATAAATTCATTTAACATTTTCTTTTTATATCTAAGATTCGAAAATTTAATATACATTGCAAGATTCCTCATAAGTATATCCACCTCTACACAAGGTTTTTTATATGTATAAAAAAAGTCTACTGAAAAGTCAAATTACATTTTTATGAGCAATGAGCATTAAAATAAAGTTAAATTTTTTACAAAATTGGATATTCACCTCGATTTCCTCAATTTCTCATAGTGATTTTCATATTTTCTAGTGAATCAAAAACGAATAACCATAAATAGGTATATTTGAAATTTACATCATATGTTTATTTTGTAGTTTTATATACTTGACGAAATTTTCAAAATATTTTGACTTGTTTTGAGCTGTTTACAGACATTATCAATTAACATTTTTTTTTTCTTTAAATATCAATAAAAATTTTTTCTTTTGTTGAAAAGCTGGAAAAATTAATACAGGTTTACTCACACATTGTTACAATATCAGTTGAGAAATATTAAAAATACATAGGCACAAGTTTTTTATAAGCATTCAAAGTTTCAATTTTGATAAAATGTATAAAAATTTAATTTTAAAAATGATTTTTTAGTTTAAAAATTTATAAAATATTCAACTTTTATAGCTAAGGATTAAAAATTAAAAATAAGGTTCCACATGTAGTTAGGTTAGTAGTTCATACTGTAACCAAAAAATATAAAAATATATAAACACAGTTTTTTTTTATAGTTTTTTGAAGTTCAAGTTTGGACGAAATTAATTGAATTAAACAAAGAATACGATTTTATTTGTGTTTTAATTTAAAAATATTATTCGTGGGTGCTTTAAATTCTAATGATATTTCACATAAAATTTTCATTTTGAAATATTTCAATCTTAAGACTTTCATTCATCTTGAAATATGGAAAAATATATTATTTTAATTTATTGTGATATACGCATACAATTATCACTAGCTGATGGTCAGACTGATTTCATACTTATCAATATTTAATTTCCTATCACGATGTAGATGAGATATTTTTGGGAGGTCAAAAATGAAAATTCTCAGTAGGTACCTACCTACTTTTTAAAATAATCGAGAGAAAAAAATTAAAATTTGTTAAAATTTTAATAGTATTATTAAAACATTTAAAACAATTATTTGGTAACTTTGGTTAGACTGACAGTCTTTATACTTATATATAGACTGTCTTTGATTAGTTTAGTTTTTTTTCTAAAAACGTCGATAAAAAATATTCGTACGATCAAAAAGCTTAAATAACAAGATGGTTCCTCATAATGTTTTATCATTGCTATTAAAAAATACTACTAACTAACTAACTAATACTAGCAATACCTATTAGAACAATTATTTATAAGCATTTAATGTTCACATTTTGACAAAACCACAATTTATTCGTAGTTAAAAAATGATAAATTGTTCAATTTGTATAGCCAATAGTCTTGAATATTTAATACAAGACTACAGAATCGGGTATCGGGCCATTGGGGCATATGATGACGTCCTCTAAGAAGTCATAAAATGGACGGTGAACAATTCGACAATACATGACAAAATGAAAGAAGTCTACTACCTATTTTTTTCAAATATATCTTCATAATAATGAATGACATAATTAGTTTTTTAAATTTAAAATTTTATTCCACCTGACTTAAAACTTGGTTGACGACGCTTTTCGAAAATTTCAGGAGCTAGGAGAAGCCCAGACATTCTAAATATATAGGCTTCTAAATTTGATGCAGTATCATATTGAGATTTTCTAGTAGCTAGAGTCTATAATAATGACATCATTAGCTTTATTGTCACGTCCGTAAATTGAGATATTGTATTCTGCCATTCTGGCATGGATATAATCTCTCCATGTGCAATGTAAATAATCCACTAACTGCAGGTTTAAACCAAGTGACCTTTAACTTTGCAATTATAGCACCCTGAAACATATATGTTCTATTACTATCCATATTTATATTTTCTAATCAGTAATCACACCAATTTATACTTACAACAGTGACTGTGGATGTGCAAGATCAGGAACTGACCATTTATTATTGTATACTGTAACTTGTACATTGTATATATTTTGTACACAGTACACATGCATAAAATTATTGTACAATAACTAAATCGTACGTGAGTGGCACTATTCTGCATGGTGAAAATGAAATAAAACGATTGAGCAGTAGGTAATCTTTTTATTAAATACCTCTGATCTGAGTCCACGATTTAAGATATTATCTAAACGTGTCTAGAATTCTGATCTAATTCAAATAATTAGAAACTTTATTCCTATAAATTACAAACACAATTTATTAATATATTCAAGATATTCAAATTTAAAGAATTAAAAGAATTAAATATATTTATATTATTTCTATCTCTATGACCCAAGATCTATTTGTCAGCATAAGTACCCCTTTAAATTATTCAAATATGCAATATGCATTAAAGTTATCTATGATATTATTATGGCCATTGCCCATTTGGTATTTTTTCCTCTCAATATCAAAATGTTATCAATAAACATCGAATAATGTTTCATCCATGATTAAAATTCCCGCCAATTTGTTCAATGTATTATCACAATGAACTTATTTGTTTTGTACCTCCTATTTACTATTCAGAATTTAGATATTATTCAGTATTTCAGTACATTAATTTATTATTGAGTATTGACTCTGGTTTATGGTTTTTATTACATTGAACTTAGATTTAGTCAACTCGTTTTGATTTTAACATGCAAACATGGCCCCTGGGAATACTGGTCGTTTTGTTAAACCCTTAGAGAAGTCATTTTTTAAGTATGTACCTATAATCTTACACAATCATATTGTATAATATTATGCATTTTAATTTGAATCTTATATTTTGAATATTTTTATTAAGTCAATTCAAAGAAGATTCCAGTGATGTTCGGTTGAAGCAATCTATAGAAAATGATTTGATTGACAACAAATATGGTTTTTTTCGCGTTAAAGATTACCAAGAGCATACTGGTTATCTCATCAACATGCATAGCGTAAGTAATATTTCAATTAAAAGAATAGTATTGGGTTATGGGTTATTACTTGTTTTCGATTACCTATAATAATAATTACTTATAATTTTTGTAGACCGAAATTGTTGATGAGGATAAACGTTTGGTAGCTGCTGTCGATTATTATTTCATCAAAGATGACGGGTCTCGATTTAGAGTCACCCAACCATTTCAACCATATTTCTATCTATTAGCTAAAAAAGAATATATTCAAGAAGTTGTTGCTTACATAAGTAAAAAATTTGCCGGTAGTTTTACAAGTATTGACACGGTCATGAAAGAAGACCTAGACTTGGTAATGATTGTATAAATGTGTATAATCTAATTATTAGTCATGTTATCTTATTAATTTATAAATTGTAATATTATATTTTTAGCCAAATCATCTGATAGGCTTAAAACAAAGATATATAAAAATTTCATTTGCAACAGTTACTGAAATGAATAAAATGCGCCAAGCTATAATGCCAGCAGTCCGTAAAAATCGCTTAGCACTAAAAAATAATTCTTATTACACAGAAATGTTGACAGAATCTTTAGCTAATTTATCTGAAGTAGTTTCATCAAAGAAGCAAGTTGATCACATGGAAAATATAATTGATATCAGGTTATACATTAAATCATTTTATATTTAGATAATTAGATACATAATATTTCATGTATAATAACAAATAAGGTTGATATATTGTTCTTACAAAAAATTTTTTTTTTAATATTTAAAAATATCGCAAAAAGTGTAAAAATGTTTTTAAAAATGTATCAATAGAAAAACCTATTTGCATTTGTTTTTATATGAAAATATAATAAAATGTTAAGAATTTTTTTAGAGAGTATGATGTAGTATATCATATACGAGTATCTACAGATTTAAAGATATTCACTGGATTGTGGTATACAGTTCAATGTCGTGGACCCTATAACCAAGCAACATTTATTCAACGCGATGATATTATAGACCGACCTGACATGATTGTTTTGGCATTTGATATTGAAACAACAAAACTTCCACTTAAATTTCCTGATGCAAATACAGATCAAATTATGATGATTTCATATATGATTGATGGTCAAGGATATTTAATTAATAATCGAGAAATTATATCTGCAGATGTTGTTGACTTTGAGTACACACCAACACCAGAATTTGAAGGTAATTCAGTAACTTTACTAAAAACACTAATGTTATGAATTCTAAAGCTTGAAAATTTTAGGTTTATTCACTATTTTTAATGAACCTGATGAAGCTGCTTTGATAAATCGTTTTTTTGAGCACATAATGGAAATTCGCCCTCATATAATTGTAACATACAATGGTGACTTTTTTGATTGGCCATTTGTGGAAACTCGAGCAGCAGTTCATGATTTAAATATGTCTCAAGAAATAGGATTTTCTAAAAATACAGCTGGAGTATATAGTTGTCGGCCTGCTATGCATATGGATTGTTTATGGTAGGATACAACATACAAATTAACCTTATCATTATTTAAATATGGGTTAAATTATATACCTATTTATTTTATATAAATTATATTTAGCATGAATAATGTTTTTAAAAAGGATTACCTATAAGGATATAAGGTTCAATAAATACAAAAAACTATAATATGTATAGCAATAAAATGTATGACATAATTTTATTATTCTATTATATTTGTTAATAAGTTTGGTGTTATCATTTAAAATTTGTTATTAAAAAAGTTTTAATACAGTAAAAACTACGCTAGATGGAATCGTTGGGGCCATCCAATTCTTCCGTCTTATTAGAGTTTCTGACTCGACAGGGTTCATTTTTTATGTGTGTTTGAATCTGGACTAAATAAATTGTTCGTGTTGCCTGGGTTTCGTCTTACCTAATTTTTATTGTATTACATTCCTTTAGTATTTATTTGAGTTCAAGATAAAGATTAATATTTGACTCAACTCAACTTTTTGATCTATTACTAGTATTAAACAGTTTCTTGGTGGAAGTATATCAGATCATACATTTTTAAAGTCATGGTTTTTTTTAATGTTAAATTTTTTAGTACTTAAAAAATAATAGGTATAATAATTATAAAATAGTTCACTAGTGTATGACTGCCATAATGTTCTGAATATTTTAATCACTAACAAAAAAATTACATATTAGTAATTTTTTTATATTATACAATGTATGTATTATGGTATTATTATAAATTACTAATTAGAATTTAATTTATTGAATACTTAAATGTTTAATGTTATGGAATATTTTAATTTTTCAGTTGGGTTAAACGAGATTCTTACCTTCCAGTAGGATCACAAAATTTAAAAGCAGTTGCTAAAGCAAAATTACGTTATGATCCCGTGGAGCTTGATCCAGAAGACATGTGTCGACTAGCCACAGACGAACCTCAAGTACTTTCTAACTATTCAGTGTCAGATGCCGTTGCTACTTATTATTTATATATGAAATATGTTCATCCTTTCATATTTGCTTTATGCACTATCATCCCTATGGAGCCCGATGAGGTATGGTTTTTAATAAATATTACGTTTATATAATAATAGTTAGAACTTTATTCAGCAACTAAAAACACTTATTACTAAATCTATTAGTCTTAATTAGCACAATAACTTTTTAGTTCAGATATTAAGCAGGGTCTGCGACAACATTCATCGATGATCGTTCTTTTAGAAGAGCGTAGTATACGTGTAGGCATAAATGACATTGAATCTTGCCTAGATTGGTATGGATAGTCAATTGCATTATAGTCTTCTAGGTCCTTGTAATCCCATACTTCTGAATCTATTAATAAAATATTAAAATACTTATTGTGAAAACTATATTATTATTATTATTATTCTTATTATTTGTATTGTACAATAATAATTCAGTAATATTTTTAAAAAATGTATAAGCATAACATAGTAAATTAAAATAAATTTCAAAGTTAATAATAATGTATTAAATAATATGTAGTTGAATTTAAATTTCTATATAAAAAGCTTAAATATGATAGAATTAAATTATTTTATTCACAATGATATTATTATATTTAAATTTAATTTGGTATATTTAATTTAACTAAAAATTCTTGAACTGTTGTAAGTTTTGTATAATAACCTATAATGACTTTAAATTTGAATCAACAACAATGATTTTACTTAACTTAACCTTTCTAGAATTTTACTTTGGATTTAATCACTTATTATTATTCTTAGGTTAGTTAAAAAAGGGTATATAATATGTAACATTACTTACCCATTTTACTTCTTTTTGTCCCATTTGGTGGAGGTGGGGTATTGTACCTGTTTTTACATACCACTTGCATTATGTCTGCCAATCTAGAACCACAGTATTGTTGAGGTGGTAGTTTCAAATCAGATGTTACAATTTTGATGAGTAATGTCAAAAGGAGTGAACTCAAGTATAGATTTATCTTCATTGTATTCTAAAATTATAAAAATAAAAAAAATATGTTTGAAAAAAGTTGCAGGTTAATTTAAATAGATTGTCAGTAAGGGCGAGTTGTACCGGTTAAAGTTAATCAGAGTTTAATTGGCCTAATTTGCCCAGTTAAATATCTATTATATCTGACGGTACAACTGGTCCTAACAATCACACAATTTTTAAATACCAAACTAAAGTAATATCCTTGTAATATGGCTAAGTATTAAAAACTACATACCTTGAAAGAATGTTTTAATAAGTGTAGATGTGGTTTGTTGAAAGGTGGTAAACTGATAAGTGATTATTGTCAGCCGTTGTTGGTCTTTTATATAACAATGTCATTCCAGTTTTAATATTGTGTAGGAGTTCTATATAAAGACACAATAACTGTAAATAATTAAAACACATCAAGTAACATTAAGGTGATGATTGAACAAGGGTCAAGATTATTAATAATTTTAGAGGGAAAATTAATTTAATTTTTGATTGACATATTAAATGTTGATGGTTGTTATTACATTTTCCCGTTACCCAATTAACTTCTGAAGGTAAATAAAATAAGATTAATAACGCGTCAAAATGTCACATGTCTTGTGTTGTAACAGAGTTTTAGTAAATGATTTAATATATTCCAATTACTTAAACAAATTTTTTTATCCACTTATGATAGTATGCATATTTTTAAATTTAAATTTTGTTTTGCTGGTTAAAACTTAAAAGCCCATAAATATTATTTGTACTAGGTACAGAACATCATTTAGGTTGATTGATTCATGTTTGGTAATTTATTTATTTTATACTGCTATACCTAAAAAGTGAAAAATAACTGAATACTGTAACCTAGTTGTGCATGTTTTTTTAATTTTTTTTTTTTTTAATAAGCCTGATAGGGTTTGACTAAATAAATAAAAAAACAAAATAAATTTTATTTTTATTTTAAGTTCATATATTTTTTTAGATTTGCCTGTTAAAGTTTGAACTATTAATCATTGTTTTACATTTTCATTCCTTAGCTATAAAAATTGAATATTTAATAATATTTTAACTACAAAATTATTTGATAATTTTCGAGATTTTGATAACTTTTGTAAAGAATTTGAACTTTAAAATGCTTTTGCATAGGGCATTTTTATATTTTTAAACTGATATTGTAACAATCTGTGGGACGCCTTGTATTACATTTTCAAGCTTTTTGACCCAACGATTAAAATTTTATTGACATTTATAGAATAAAAACTAAACAAGTTTAAAATGTCAATAAATAAATACTCAAAACGAGTCAAAATATTTTGAAAATGTTATCATGTATAGGAAATGATAAAATACTTGTTTGATGGAAATTTCAAGTAGCTAAGGTTATTAGGTTTTAAAATACAACAAAATATTCCGGGGAATTTTGTATTAAATTTTCAAAGGTTAGATTTAAATAGAAAATTTCTATGAATTTCTATCTCAAAATAATTTGTCAATTTTCGTGATTTTGATGAATTTTGTCAACATTTTAACATTAGACGTTCATAAAAAATTATCGATGATATTACGCTCATTTTTTTTTTTCAATTTCCCCCAACATATTTATGAGGAATGGTGGTATAAACATTTTCATGTTTTTTTACTAAATAAAAAATTTTTTATTGACAGTGATACAAAAAAAAGAAAATTTCGAGTTTAATAAAATAAAACTCAAAATTTTCTTACGCCTATAAAAAGCTCAAAAAAGTCGCTATATTGCCAACATTTTATAATGCTTGGTAATTGCTGATGTAAACATGTAGCATTTATATGTAGCATGTAGCATTACATACAAAGATGTAGTATTTTGTCAATATATGAACTTTAAATGCTTATAAAAAAAATTGTGATTGGATTTTTAATATTTTTGATTTGTTTTTCAAACATTATGTTAAGAGCCTTCTATTAAATTTTCAAGCTTTTTTACTCAACATACAAAACTTTATTGATATCCATAGAATAAAAAACTAAAAAAATTGGAAATGTCAGTAGGCAGTTCAAAAAAATCAAAATATTTTGAAAATGTTATGTTGCTGCTAATATAAACATTCAGACAAAATTTCATGTATCTACAGTCATTTGTTTTATAATTAAACCAAAAATTAAAATTGTTTTTGTCGAAAATCAATTTTCCGTAAAAATGCCTGTTTTTCCTCAATTTCTTTTTTTTTTTTCAAGGCGATTTGAAAACTATTGGGAAATTTTTACTTTTGACCCCCCAAAGTAGTTGCCTAATTCGAATACTATAAAAATAAAACAATAAAATATCAAATTGATATGCCATTCCCTCTAAAATATTATTCTCTATCTTTTTTGTAATGGGCGGTTTTCCTCTAAGATTACTTAAAAAACATAAATAAAAAATAATTCTGCGTAAATGCTTTTTGTCAATGTTGCGCGTGAGCCAAAGAGAGAAAACAAATAGTGCGCTGACATCCTCTTAAGAGGACAATAAAAGTTGTTGCTTTTAAACATTTCGTTTTTTTTTTTTTATTTGCTTATAAAAAATGATTGGATAGTGCTATTTAAAAAAAGCACGCTGTTGCACAGATAGTAGTTCTACAACAAATATGGTGCAAAAAAAGTTGTCCCGCTCAAAACAGTTTTTGCTATGTTGTACATTTGTAAGACTGAGACATCACTGAACACTTGCGGGTGTGACGTCCTCTTAAGAAAAAACTGAGATTTTTAGGTAAAACTAATTACTTTGTTTTCTAACTCTTTTTTTTAACTAAAAAAAAAAAACCATTTTAATTGAATACTTCTATTAGCAATTTCTATACAATTTACTAAATATTGCGACTCGATTTGAGGTATTATAAGCATAAGAATTTTTTGAGTTTTATAATTTTTTTTTTTTTATTATGTAGATAAAAATGGTTGCACTGTCAAAAAACTTGAGAATGTTGTATAATTAGTACAACATTCCTCATAAGTTGTTAAATTGGAAATTATAAATATACAGTTTTTGAAATTTTTTACTTTTGAACCCCAAAGTACCAACTAGATTCACTTTCCTATCATAAAAGATACTGTTGAAGACAATTTTTACTGTCCTTTAAGGTGATGACACACTAAAAATATTTTAAAAAAAAAACACATTGTAAAATCAATACATTCATCACTCCACTCAGATTCTAAAATATGTATTGTAATTTATAATATACAAGGTATAATGCAATATAGTATTAGGCCCTGCATTCTACCATTTTCACTCGATAATAAAATAATTGCAATAACATGCATTTATGGAAAATGTATGGAACTTGTTTATTTTAGTCTGCAGGACAAACTTTATAGTTTACGCGGTATTTAACGGCTGTCCGGATTAATGAGGGTTTACTGTATGTAATAACAAAAGATTCAGTTTTAGTTTTATACTTTTAAGTTATAGTTTTTACAGAAATTATTACAACTATTTAATTTATTTAAATAACTCCCAAACTAGAATTAATGTTTAATAGGTAGTATTTTGCTAACTAAACCACATAGTACTTAGTTAAAATGCATGTTGTTTATTATTATTGGTTGAGCTAATAAATAAATGTTCAATCCAATTAATATATATCATTAAACTAAAAACTTTTACTATAAGTATTTATGTAAGATGTATACATTATAGGTATTAAGAAAAGGTTCTGGAACGCTATGCGAAAGTCTTTTGATGGTGGAAGCATTTCATGCAAATATTATCTTTCCTAATAAGCAAGAACAAGAGCTAAATAAACTTAGTGACGATGGCCACGTATTAGATCAAGAGACTTATGTTGGTGGCCATGTGGAAGCTTTAGAATCTGGTGTATTTCGAGCTGACATACCTTGCAGATTTAGACTAGATACATCAGCTTTTGATATGCTCATTGAGAAAGCATCTGAAATATTTAAATTTGCAATTGAAGAAGAAGAAAAAGTCCCTATGGATAGTGTGACAAATTTAGATGAAATATTGAAAGATGTCGTTGAAAAATTGGAAGCCCTAAAAGCAGACCCTTATCCATTATTGAAACCATTAATATACCATTTGGATGTTGGCGCTATGTACCCCAATATTATACTTACAAATCGACTACAACCTTCAGCTATGGTTAATGAAGAAATTTGTGCTGCTTGTGATTTTAATATTCCAGGTGCTAATGCCAAAGAACTATGACCTGGCATGGAGAGAGAACTAAGTATGTTATAATATATTGTTTAACTGTTTAAAATTATCATTAATTTACTTATTTGATTTTAGTGCTGCCCTCAAGAACCGAGTTTCAACGTATCCAACAGCAATTAGAAACTGAGAAGTTTCCCGGTCAATTTCCTAATGACCCTCCTAGAGCATTTCATCAACTGAGACGAGACGAAAGAGCCACTTGGGAAAAGAAACGATTGACCGAGTATTGTCGCAAAGTATATAAAAAAACTCACGTAACCAAAATTGAAGAACGTTCAACAACTATTTGTCAAAAAGAAAATTCTTTTTACGTTGATACAGTACGAGCATTCAGAGATAGACGTTATGAGTATAAAGGGCTCTGCAAAGTTGCTAAAAAACAAATATCTGAAGCAATAACAATTGGTGATCCTGTTGAAATTAAATCAGCTAAAAACCGTGAAATATTATATGATTCATTACAATTAGCACACAAGTGCATTCTTAATTCATTTTACGGATATGTCATGAGAAAAGGGTAATTGATTATCATGTATTTAAAATGATTCATTAATATAAAATAAGGCTTTCATTTTAGCATTTCCTGAAATATTTTTTTATAAAATATATGAACTACTAATATTTAAAAAGGTATGTTTCAAAGTGATCTCTTACAATTCAAAGAACACATCTTGTCAAAAATATTTACAAATTTTCAATATTTTATTGTTTTAGTAATATGTTCCAACAAATAATTATTTTTTAAAGTATTTTACAATAAGTACAGAATCTAGATATATTCTTTCTTGCAAAGTTTAGGTTAGCATAACATTGAAAATGTATGA